ATAGATGTCAACTATTTGGACATACAGAATAATACTGTAAGTCAAGCTGTAAAATGCGTTAAATGCAATGGCCCTCACGGATTGACGCCCTCCACTAAAAGCGAGAATGAAAAGCCTACCTGCCTTAGTTGCCCAGGGATACATGTTTCAAATTGTAGAGGATGCACAACTACCAGAATATGCACCTTTAAAAAAAATTCGTAACAGTTTTGCAACTAAAGCTTCCAAGAATCCCGAAAGTTTTCAATAACGAAAATACAAGCTATGCACAGCGTACTAAACAGAACTTATAACCTGAAGCAACTAAAACAGCCCCCTAAACGATAAAATAGGGCACAAGGATCTAGCCTCCCTTTTTACTTGACTGTGGTGGTACACCTCATACCTAACGAATAGTACCTTTACCGCTAGAGCAACTTCGTTGAATTCCGCTTTAGACAATTAAAGCGGATTTTTCACAAGGTTTCTAAGTACCCTCTTCACTTTTTTCTATCTACATGTGCGAAATGCCACAATTATCGAAAAAATAGAAACTAGGCTCAATACGTTGACGACACAGCCTTATATTATAGTTCAAAATCCTCCTGTCTGGTGTTTAAAAACATACAGTCTCAGTTGACAGTGATTGAGACATGGTGTTCGAAAGGTAGGTTGATAATTAACGAGTCGAAAAGTAGCTTTGTAATTATAACAAAGGGAAGGATACTCCCCTAGTAGGTCTCTAGTAAAATGTCAATCCTCGAGGTAATAAGGTTAGTTATCTCAAAATTGTGCGTGACGAACGACTAAGCTGATCTCCACATCTTTCTTAAGTCGTTTCAAAACCAGAGAAGCTATAGCCGTGTAAAATCTCATACTAAGCAGGAAAAGCAAATTGCATTTAAAAAAGGTTTTCTAGCTATACACTCGCTGATGGCCTAGGACTCTATCGCTGTGCCTATTTTTAAACAAACATATTCATCGAATACAAATACTACAAAGTCGCGTTCTAAAATGGTGGTGGACGGCCCCTTCGTTTGTGCACAACAGCTAACTACATAGAGAGCGTAACCTCGAGCCTATTTAAGTTTATCATGTTTTACAGGCTCTTAATTATGACTTCCCGTTGGTTGCCAAGTACTCGCGGTCAAAACATTTCTTAGACCTATTGAAGGTGGGGGGAGGGGGGAAGGTTAAGGTTATAGTTTATTGTATTAACTTAATTATATATATATTTTTTTATAATATTATGGAATTGAAACTAATCCATCCCTTTTTTCTTCCTTTAAAATTTTAAATTACTTTGCTTTTACGTCTTTTTATTATATACTACTTAGCTATGATAACTCGCAACTGTTCTCCCTAATGGCGCATTGAATAGTTAGGAACTTGTGGTTTTTGCACCCTCAATTAAAGTAAATTAAACGGCAATCGATCTTAGTCACATCTGTAGTAAGCCAGTGCTATAAAGTGTGATACTTCGTCTTTTTGGTATCCAGTTTTCTCTTTTTGTTTTTTTTGTTCATTTTGCTGTTTTAGTTGTTTGTTTTTAAATATATTTCTTTATTATTTGGTTATTCATTCTATCACTTATTTAATCTATAATATATCCTTTGTGATTAAAATACTTGTTATTTTACCTATAATTTTTAGACTTGTTACTCGGATAAAAAATTACCTAAATTTGTTGTTTATTTAACTTGAAAAAAATTTTGAATAATTTCTTAGTTTTTGCCTTCTCTATTATTAAAAGTAATTGCCAAGTTACGCGTTTTAAAAGGGGATACTAAGGAAACCGTTTTACTTTTCTATTAATTCCTTTTGTTTTCGTCTTATTCAAACACTCGCTTCCTTTTTAGAAGGAACTTTTAATTTTAAACTTATACTATGTTCAAACTGACCTTTTCACGAGTATATATATTATTTGGAAGCAAACTGGTTATTAGCGCTAATTTTTATTAATTTATTTCATCTTGGTAGGCAACAGTTTGTAAAAATTAAGGTGGTTTAGACTTTCTGTATTACTACATTTTTGGCATTTGTTCTTCCTTCTTTAGGCATTAAATTTTATTTGTTTCTCTCCGGCCTTCTTTGAAGGAGACGTCGCCGACTTATTTAGAAAGCACTCTTGGTTCGTTTTCTCCTATTTAAAATTTGATTCTATTGGTAAGGGTTATCACTATCTATTAAATACTGATGGGCTAACGGCTGCTTCTTTTTTTTAAATAGTGAAGAGTTTGGTAAGTTAATATTGTTAGATATGATATCGAATTTAAGAAGATAGATTCTGTTAAATAGATAAGATATAGCGCGCATTGCAAATTACTTTTTTAACGTTAGCGACTTGCCAGCGTGCCTTTTATCAACAACTTACTCACATTGGTTGCACTGGTATTTTTTTGGTGTTTAATAGGAGAGGCCGACTTAATAATGTTATTTACAACTGTTTCGTATTTTATGCAATTATAACTCTTTAGAATTCTTGTTCCTCTGAAAGTTTGTCCGCAACCGGTATAAAAATTAACTATGAAAGTCATTGTAATAAGGAAAATTATATAAGAAATGTTATTCAGCATTCATCTTTTTTGAGTGATAAAAATATAGAGGGGCTTTTTTACCTTCAAAGCTTTAAGTATTATGAATTCTTATATAATAATGAAAAAATATAATAGTTATAACCAAAATTAACCAATGACCTGAACCTTAGCCTCTTCAAAAACTTAAAAGCAGGTATAGCCATTCAAAACTTTGGAAAAGTGATTGAATCAATTTTTATTGACGACCTTCCTTCAAAGTTCCGGCTTTGAGAATACCCACAGTTTATTTTTCTGTATTTTTGCACCTAACCGCAATACTATTACTTCTTTCATTAAGAACAATAACTTGGGTTACAAAAATTTTGGTGCTGACAAGATGAACTTTTACAGTACTCTTCTGAACTGCTTCAGACCTTACAAGAGTGGTTATTATCCGCATAACTCTGGAAGCTTACTAACGAGTTAACATTATGGTTACATCTTTGTTTCGAAAAAACGGCTAGTGCTGCATAAAAGAAAAAATTTAGTGTTTTCAAAGGGTTGGAATTTCTGTACTCCTCAAACGGATACCGTTTGAGTTTAACTTACCCATTTGGCATGTCATCGATTTTATGGAGTATTTCGAGATGAATGTTAAAAAGGTTACCTTTTCCTGTTTTGAAACGTCAGTTCGATCGCGAAAAGGTTGTAACGAAAGCATAAGCATATTTAATAGTTTTTTTTCTCTTCTGAATAATTTTTTGTTTTATAAGGTTATTCTTTAGATAGTATTGAAGAAATTTCTTTAAAAGAGGGTTGCAATGTCCGTTTACTCTCCAATCACTTTCCAAGTGTGCCGTGTTCATTTCGAACAGACCTTGTATTCCTGATTCTTCCTCGCGATACAATTAAAGGTCTTCCAGAAGAGAAAGTTCACTTATTGCAAAACTTTATTTAACTGGGCGGATTATAATAAAAGAATCAGTCCCTCTTTAAAGATTACCTTGAAAACGGTTTTATACATGGAATTTGCGGAAAAAAGCGAGACTAAGGACATTATTGTACATTCGAACATACTCAATTCTACCCAGTTAATGCTTCGACTTTAAAGTTAATACGTTTTCTTCGAGAGAGCGATTACAATAATGTTTATTTCTTTTAAGAGTTATATGCGTTCAACTTTCTTTTCCTTGGTTGGTAAATCATATTTAAAGCTTCCTTTTAGATGTAGGACTCAAATTGTTAGTAGATGTTTTAAACGCACTAATGAAGAATGTTAAAAAGGTTTAGAGAACATTTTAAGAAGAGGTCATATACCACCTTTAAAACTATTCCAGGAAATTAAAATTTTAAAGTATTAAGTTTAATTTAGTTGGATACTCAAAAGGAGCTACCATATAAGAAAATAGAGAAAAATTGTATAAAGTAACCTAGATGCTTGAGGTGAGGTCTAAAAGCACTGCTAAAGTTAATGGGATTTATAAGAAATGGAGTGTTTAATTTAAGGCCTAATAAGCATAAAGGAAAATTAAAAATATTTTAAGCTTGCCGATGATCTTAACTACAACTTTTTTCTATGCCGGTCCATTATCAATTTAAAAAAAATGCTAGCAAGAGGATAGAAGCTAATAGTTGTCGAAAAACTAAATTATTGGATCGCATAAACGTTTAACCCCAATAAATTTCTTATTAATAATGCCAGAAATCGTATATGGATAAATTTTATTTGGTCTTGATGGTAATGCCACTCACGCATACTTTGAGCCTGTTAAGCTTGGTGTACAGCTCGACAGAAATGGAATGCAGGCTTTTTCAAGCAGAGGTATGGAACAAGAGTTTGCCGACACACTTTACTTTATTCAAACACATATGCGTAATAAATTATCTCAATCTAGCAGTAGCTTGGAAGGGATGAATTCACCCCACGATGCCGTGAGGAAACATGGCACTGAGGTGAGCACACCCTATGCCCTACGTGGCGCGACTCTGTCAAGACCAAAGGTCTGCAAAAATGCGTCAAATGGATAACCTTAAGGTATGTTTGGGGATTATCAATGTACTGATAAACCTATTGACATTAAAAGTCCAGTATCTGACGTTTTAGATAACCCGAATGTAGCAGTGCCGCTTGTAGGAAGTGGAAGACCTTCCTTTGTATTTTGTTGATATCTCAATAGAAAGGGTTGATAGCATTACCATGGATAAACAAGATTAAACGTTTAAACATGGCATAGAAGGTTATAAGGACATAAGAAGTTGATTATTGTAAGTTTTTGGGAATAGCTCCTGATATGGGCCCCTAATGGCAATCTAGTTAGACTACATAATAGAACAGAGAAGAAATACAAAAGTTCTGGCTCTTTTACTTTAGAAAAACTTTAAGTTCTTTGTTTTACGCCGTCGCAGGCGCTTGTAGATTTATAGGAGAATTTTTAAGATTTTTTTGTAGTATATATAGTTAAAAAAATTATTGTTCAGGAAAAATATTCCGTTTTTTAATCTGACAATATTCTAAATTATGATTTCTAAACCAATAATAATGAGACTTGACAAGGCTTTTAAGGAAGCCAATATTGGTCTATCCTCCGTGCTGAAAAGTGGATTACCTCGGCAGTTGACGTGCTTTCAATTTTCTCTGACGCTCATTACTGCATAATACTATATATAAAGAGGTCTAAGTTTAATAGTTAAACTTTTTTAGCCCCAATAGGCAAAAAATTTACTGTCAACTCAATATGGGGGTCAGTATAAAATCAGTTAATTTAAAAAAAGATAAGCAAAAACTTATGCAAAATAAGTTAGGTGCGACTTACCCCAAGCTACGTGCTTATTCGTTTGCTCGTTCTTACAATAAATGTTAAAAAAAAGGTTTCATAAAGTGAATTGTACGGAAACTCCACTTCAAATAAGAACGGAAGGGCTTCCTTTAAAATAATGGTTAATAATATGCTGTTCGAGTTTTATTTTTAAAAGTTAGTTTGATAGGTTACTAATAAATAACTTTAAGCACTTGAAATATACACCCGCGCCGGGTTCAGGTGTTTTATAGGTGTGCTTCATTAAAAACTTTCTACTTTTTCTCTATGGATTAACATTCTTGAAGAGTTGAAACAATAAACTTCCATAAGGAGAAGAATTGTTTAAGATTAAAATGTAAACAGAGCAAAAACGATACAAAGTACTGAAAAGGGTATCGAATAGAGTGAAAAGGAACTATGAAGGGATGGCCTAGAACAAAAGTTAAAAAAAAGAAGTAGAGCATATTCCATTGAAGAGTTAAAGTAAATGTTCTTTTCTGCATAATAAGCGAAAATACACTCGCAAAGCAGGATTTTCTATTTTTTTAAACAATCACTATTAAAAGTAGAGGCATATATAAGTAACGCGAGATAAAATTTTGGCTAGGTAAAGTTAGTGACCTTTTTCGTAATATTTGCAGTTTTTATATGGTAGTAAGGTACTAAATTAAGAGCGTATATCATCAACCTTTTTAGTGGCACTTGTTAGTTCACCTTTAGAGAAGTACTTAACCCTTTGCCACAAAGAAAGCTTTAGTAGTAAGGAGCGGCAAACGGTTTATCTGTAAACTTTTGATTGAAAAGGAAGACCATTCAATTTTGTAGATAAAATAAAAACTAAGTTTAAAAAGAAACCTGGCCTAAAACAGTTTAAAAGGGTGCAAGAGTAGAGATTGAAATCTGTACAGAACTTGGTAATTACCGTTACTCCAATGTTCAGTAGGAAACACAAATGTCCCGGTCAGGAACTGCGTCATTCTTAATTTAAAATTGGCAATTTGTTTATTTTTTTTACCCTTAAGTATGTTAACTTTTAAACTAAGTCCCTCGGCGTTTAGTGTTTACATATCATTTAAAAGGGAGTACAAATATACAAACTTTCTGGTCCATTTTTTATTGAAAATCTTAGAGCCCAGTTTGAGGTTTGGCACAATGTGATAACAATCTTTATAATTATACACATATAAGCTTATATGTACATCTTTTTATAAAACCAGAAACTTAAATAGATACTTTAGCATTGCACGAAAGTTAGTCAAGCGTAGTAAATAATAATGTAATAAATTGCCTTCCTCTTTTTGACGTCTATGCTTAACCGTAGTAATTTTAACAGTAAGCCAACAACTAAACAAAGTTTCTATAAGTGGTTGTAATAAAAACTAGAAAAAGATCTTTTTAAGTCATAATTTCTTATATTTTTTTGTTACACTCTTAAAAGATGAAAAATTCAGTATAATAAAGTTCAAAATTGAAAAGGTCTTAAGCAAGCTCTCAAAGTACATTAAGTGCATTAGCCATTAAAGTTTCCATTGTCTATTAGTTGACAATAAAAGTTACAATAATAGCAATATTAAGTTACACCTATGATATGAATGAAATTATAAAAAAGACTCTTATTAATGTTGCTGCCCCTAATCTTAATTCTTTTTTAAAAAAAATAAAAAGTACTAAATCTGGCTAAAAGCCGCTCTTCCCGCTTCATCCGGGAAGGGCCCCAGTTTTAATTTTTGGCTTTCCATCTTTATAAAAATCGCATCCAAAGTAAGAATCAGTGGAAACGCACTCTTAGCAAGATTCAAGGGTTTAACTATAACCGAAAAAGTACTATTGACGCCAATAAGGACTGAAGCAAGGGTGAGCAAACAACCACAAACATCCAAAGTAACCAGAATAAAAAAATTGCTTTTTAAAACAGATTTTAGATGGAATATTCCTTGGTGCTTATGGTTTTCACTCATACAACAGGTATGAATTATGAGAATTGTGATAATTAACTCTGATATAAACAAGCAAGCATAAGCTGGAGCATGCACTTTCCACGTTTTTGCATTATCAAGAGTTCTATTGAGGTATCAAAAACACCCTCTGTAAACTCGACATCCAAAAATGCTAGAAAAGTTCCAATAAGTGTTGGTTTTAAGAAATGCAAAAGTGGTGATCCTAACAATAAAATTAGTTGTCTATAAAAAGAAGATAAATAACAGAAGTTCAGCTTTATGGTTATTTTTTAATATAAGCTTTATTGATAATAATGATTTTATTACTTTCAGTATAGAACTGTAAAAATAGTTTGAAATCTTATAGTATATAAATAAATTTTAGAGCCTTGCTAACTAAAATATTTTATTGATAATAAGGCCTGCCTCATTAATTTTATCTGCATAGGTTAAATAACAGGCCCTGGGAGTGTGTTTATAATTTATTGTAAAAACATTCAAACCCTCAAAACGCCTTACAACCCCAAACTTTTGGAGACCTGAAAAAACCCCGGGGCATTAAAGAACTTAGAACCCAAACTGGTATTTCTAACTTTTCTCGTGAAAACCGGTTCTCTAGGGGTAAGGGCATGTTTCTTTAGTGTACCAACCGATGTAGTAACTTAAAAACTTTTTAGTATACACACTATGTCATAAATTCTTTGAAGTTAGTAGATAATTTTTGTTAGTGGCTATCACGAGCGTAATTTAATTGGTGCATCTATTTATTCATCTTCCATCATTGGCTTTCATAATGACATCGTTAACAAAAATTTTATTAATTTTTAAACATTTGCTTAGCGTTTATTGCATATCAAACGAAAATAAAATATTGGTGTTGGATCGACTGCTTGATACAAAAGTTCAGATTTTAGTACAAACGTGCGCTCCTAGCCTGCGTGACGGGAGTGTCAGAGTGTCGGACTAAGAACTCGGCAAGGTTGCAATTCTATACCCCCTATAAAGAAACGTCGATTTTATTAAGTTATTTTGTATAGCTGCAAAATGATGAAGCAATTAAATATTAATCCTCTTTATTATCCTCAAGATCAGAGTCCAAGTAGAACTGTTTATAAAACGCCAGTAAGAGAATCTACTGAATAAGGAGACCAAACACAAAAACAATTTACTTGATCAAAATTTTCTTTCGTAAATGCCAACTCGGTAATCTCCTCCAAGTAAAGAGCGTCGTTGCAACACTTTAATAACAATTCTTCCTTGTTATCCCAAAAGGCATGCAGGACCTTCAAGACTTTAAATATTTATAATATTAATTGTAATTGATTTAATTGCTAACCTTCTCAGAGCATAAACGCAGTTACTAAAAGCTTCCCCACGGGATATTAATAAATTATACAGGGACAAAAACCCTTAAATTTGGTGAGGAACTATTCCTAATTATTTAATCAAAATTAAAAAAAGCTTGCTTCGGTCACCATACCCAAAGGGGTCTCCTCAACTTCAGTGCTGGAGATAGAAAGGTTAACAATATTAGGCAATATTAACAAAATAGTAACGGGTATATAAAGTAATTTTAAAGTTAAATTTTTTTTAGTACTCTTATTTTAGTGCAAGTGCACTTAAGGGTTGTAAGTTCAGAGAAAATAATTAAAAATATAAATGAACTGACCTTGCCGGATACTGCAAAAAGGAAACAAACAATTCTACTGTTAAAATGCTTGCTATAAAGGGAAGGCCTATTTATAAAAAATTAGCAGGTTTCCTCGGTATAATATCTTTTTTAGTTATTTTTTTTTTAGTCAACCTTTTATCCTGTTAAACTAAAACTGCGACATTGTATTACTTATATGTAGATTAAGGTAGAGGAAAGTCTTTACAAAAAGGTATTTTATTAGCACACATAATTGCAATAGCTTAAAAAAAAAAGTTAAAATTATAAGGGACGCCCACCATTGCATTATTATGTATACTGAAGGAAGCTACGCAGTAACATGTAGTAATTACAGTGCATTCATAGTAGCAAAGTTAAGTTTTTTGATTTGATTAGGATGATATACTAGTGCTCGAAAATAGGCCTGGCCTCGTTAATGTGCACTACTGGTCCAATGTTCTGCTTTCAAAGGATTTGATGTAGATAATTAGCAAAGAGTCACATTAACGGTTTGTATAAATATTACGTTCACTGGAGCCACAACATCCGAGCAAAAGTAAACAACCTTAAATGAAAATAATTAAAATATTCAATTAAAACCTTTTTCTATACCGACTACTATCATTATTTTATCTTAATAATAGTTTTTTAATAACTCAAGCGTTTTTTAAATAGGAGTATCGTAATTTCAATGGCGCATAACCACAAAAGAATCGAAACCCAAAGCGGTATTCATACAAATCTATTAGTTTATCCTCAACAGATGAAGCTTAATAAAATCTAAAAGCTGCTTAACTTTATCATGAGCCTGGCAAAGGACAGTGGGCAACCACCTGCTTTCACGACTATCAGTTAGCAAGAATACAGCGTGTTCGATGACAAGTTCTTCCAACCTAACCCTTTCACTTTCAATAATCTAAATATTTAAAAAAAAGTCAACTAACCTTAGTAGGTAAACTTAACGTCTACGCTAGCAGAACCATGGAAATAAATCAATAAAACTTTTCTCATGTTTAAAAAATCGTTTGTTAGAAAGTTGCACGATTTTCAAAACTATTGACCAAATGGGAATTGCAAGACTTACTAGATATTGTAATCTCTCCTCAACCTTAACAGTAAACTTCCATGCTTTACTCGTTTACAAAGCTGAACCAAAATACTCTCGTATAACATTGCAGTGATACGTAAAATAGAGCTTAACAGACTAAACAAGAAAAAAGAAGTACTATTTATTTTGCTACAAATAATTTTATTTAACTAAAATGTGACAAACCCACCCTAGCTTGAGGTAAAAGAGCCTCTGTAATAAGTACAATGATTAATGACACTATTTAGTTCACGTTGCTTCGATCAGTTAGCAAGGTCGACCTTAACAACATGTCACTAACACTGATGCACTCCGACACCTTAGCCAAGACAGTATTAGTTCAAGGGCTACTTGACCTATCACTAGATAGATAAGCCAAATGCCGAAATGTACCATTGACCTAGCAACGAGGCATACTATTATTAGTCACCGCTCATCGCCAGAGCAGCCACAAAGTTCGCTTTTGTCTTTGTAACTTGCGCCGACAGTGTTTTACTCTGGCAACTTAGCCAATATTGCTAATGTTTCAGTGAAGGCTCAAAATGCTCTTCATTTACTAAGCCTAAGAATAAATAGCTTCAGAAGTCAATGCCAGAATACCTCACTTCGGCGTTATTCTAAAAAGTTCAAGGTTAATTAGCCTTTACTAATTAATAGTCAATACCCTCTTAAGGTTGGTCATAGAGCTATACGGTTCTAGTACCAAACACGAAGGCACCAGGCGCAAGGCATGTGCATAACCATCACGTACGCTCCTTGACGCAAGGAAGATGACATCTGCCAAAGAAGTCAAGCTAATATGAAGGCTTTACCAATTTTAAAGGTCTATCTTTCCATACGACCAGTAAAGAAATTACAGCTTTCCAGAGTAACGTGCAGCCCTGAGTTTAAAGCACACCGCAGGAAGGTAACATAATCACGGTCCATTGGTTTGTAATTCCATAAAGTAGCCCGAAGCATTAACTCGGATACTGCCATAATTTGCTATGAATGGGAATTAATAAACAGTGAGCTTCCAAGAACAGCCGCCATGCACTGCCGAACAGAAGAGGGTGACCTGAGCCGCGGCAGATAAGCCTACATTTGCGCCATTTCATCTCTGGATAGCACCCAATAGCAACACTACACCGAAATCCATCGTGAAGCCTAAAAGAATACCATCCATGGTAGACGCTTTTTTATATAGGGATGATTTTTTCCGACCTCTTGACGATAATGGCTTCGCGGCAAAAAGCAATCCTCGCTCCATTAATGAGTGTACACCAGCACCGAGAATTGCTAACAGCCAAAGGCCTCAAAAGAAGTCTAGTGCTACCACTAACAGCCTAACCTACACAGCTGCCAAAATTGAATCTTTAAAGGATAGCCGACGCGTACCTCTTGCGCTGATACAAAAGATGCCACGTGCAAGAGAGAAAGAGCACACATCGAGAAAGAGCTAATTAGCTTTTATCTCTTATACGGGTTTTTAAACGACTTAATTCGTTAATAACCCGCCCAAAGTGTCAAAGACAGTGCTTATACCCGTAGAAAGATAGGAGGTTAAAGTTTTTGATTCTTATGGGTAAATAGCACTAAACTAAAGACTAAAATAAGGTGTTGGCTAGGTTTCAACTGGCTTCTTCGCTCGGAGAGTTTTAGCAGTTAATATTAACACCATACAAAATAAATTAATCAATTTGGTCGCCTTATATATATAGTACTAGTAGCTAAGACTATAGTAACACACATTATTACAGTGGAGTTACACACCGGCCACCAAGTCCAATGAGACAAAGGAAGAACCTAAGCTACAAGGAGAATCAGTCGCCGGTGTTCCTGGAAGGAGGCAAACAATCTTTGCTATCATCGCTCATTGCTAAACTAGGTTTCATGTTTGCTTTTGTCCGCACCTAATTGCACTGAACAAGATCTTAACTTAGCAACTTAGCACAGTCCACCAAGGCTTCAGCCAAGGATTTCCATGCTTTTCCTCGGTATATTACAAAAAACTGCCCCGGAAGGCAATGCTAGTACTCAAAGCGGAGCTGTCCTAATAAGTGAAACAGTTGTGATCTGTTTGTGTGTTTATTATTAGGCTTTAGCTATAAAATCCTCTTAGATTTTATCCGTTTAGGACCAAGTCTCGTTAGTGAACAATACGTTACTAACCATAATGTTAAAACCTAAGATACAGGTAAGATTTAACCTTCCCGAAGGTCTTTAGCCAACCTAGAGTTTCTACCAGTTTTAAAAGCAGATCTTTCGACCCGTGCGTCCTTAGTATATGTTTGATTAATTAATTCAGCTAGTTATTGCAACTGTAGAACTCTCCCAAGTACTGCAGAAACCTCACAACACAGAACTCTAATAAGGAAGTTACCATAATCACGCTGCATTGGATTTCACTGTTAATTAGCCGTTAGTGTCATAGCTAATCTCAAGTAGATTGTTTCAGTTTTTACTGACACCAAGTTCTGACTTCTTTGCAGAGTAGAGATATAAATGGCCCGTTGAAGTTAAGTTTACTTGCCCGCAACATTCCACTCTTTGGATGGCAACCCATTAAGTAACCTAGATCGAAACCATCGGAAACTCGTTGGGACTAACGCCTAAGTTGAGCGCTAATTTAATATATAGGGCCAATCTTTTTTGAACACTTTACGATAACGCTCTGGCGGCAAAAAGCAATCTTTGCACCGTTAAAGCATGTACAGTGAAATCGCGAAGGCTCATCAGTTAGGTTCAAGAAAACGGCAAAGGCACCAAAAGAGCACCTAATGCTACCATTAAATTGCACCAGCCTGCACAGCGGCCATGAATGGATCTTTAAAGGATAACTGACGCTAGCCTCGCTGTGGTCGCAGCGATAACCAAGGAAGCCTTGCACGTCCCGCGCTAAAAATATGATAAAAAGATTCAAAAGTTAAGATAAAATACTCGCACCGGACGAGCGAGTGCAACGAGGCCCGAGCGAAAAGCTCCTATTTCATATACGAGCGATTCTGGTGTTTAAATATACTAGATAATAGCTCTGTTTTAAATAATAATAAAAAAGTTTAATAACATTGAGTATTATTAGTAGGTAACAGCACTCAAGAAACGTCACTTAACAATTGATAACGATAACAATCAAGGATACTTTCTAGTTAAAAATAATCGCACTTACTTGCACGGAACACGAGCTTAACTGAGTAACTTAGCATGTTCACACAAAAGTGTTCAACAAGGAAATCCCAAGGCCTTTCTAAGCAAATTAGGGTTAAAACTGTATCTAAAGGGAGGTTAGTAGTCAACGCGAAGCTTCAAATTAAGTGAAAGAGTTGTTATCTCTTTGTGTGTTACTTAACTTTAAAGCAACATGGTCATAACTCTAACAAAACAAATCTAGTTAGAGAACGCAAAGGCGTCAAGCACAAGGTAAGTACCTTGAATGGATGCAAATAAATCTGTTAGAGGTAGCTATCAATGCAGAATGATAAAGATAAAGCTCAAGGACTTCCCACCTCACTGAACTTAATGAATTTTAGAGATCACTGGCCAGATCTATAGACCACTCGTCGATACTCGGAAATAAGCACTAGATTACTACCACACGAAGAGATTCAGTAACAGGCGGCAGAGTCTCGATTTTGACTAGGGTCAAAGTTAGAAACCAAGATTACTTCCTAGTTGGTGAGATTATTACTAGTATCGACCTATTGAA